GTTGGGGATTTTGGTGAAGCCCGTACGACCCCATCCCTTTTGGGGGTTCGGTACGACCCCCCCCCCTATACATAAACTTATGAAGTTTCTTCCCCCCCCGAGGAGGAAGAAACTTCATAAGTTTATGTATAAGTAAGCGCGAAAAATGGAAAAAGTAACAATCCTGAACGAGGCCCCCTCGCTTTTTGCTCATTTCTATCCTGATTCAGAAAAGAGAATAGAAAAGAAAGGCCATTAGGTTTCACCCACCTTCCCTCGAGTCAAAACAAACTCTGGTACCTGAATCAATTGCAATTAAAAAAAAAAAACAGGAAATTAAGCCAATTCCTCCTAAGAGCACTCTGAGCGGTCCAAGCAAAATTGCTGGGGCGCGCTCTGACGCGTATTCGAGTAAACTGAGAAGAAGATAAATATTCGATATTCGAGTAAACCGAGAAGAAGATAAATATTCGATATTCGAATAAACCGAGAAGAAGATAAACACGAAAGAGTAAATACGAACGAGAGCAAACCAGCCGAAATCAGCTGATTAAAGGCCGAGGTACCGGGGGAGGGATTCTGGGCAGGACCTCCAGCCGCAAGGTGGTTGCAGGTGGTTTGATTGGAGCGCGGATTTTCAGGAAAGTAGGGTGTCTTTGAAGGGCCATAACTTCCTTAATAGCGGACCTGTGGGAAAGAGAAGAACGCAGTCGTATAGAGAAAGATTTTATCTATCCAAAGCATACTAACATGTTCATAAAGGTCGCCAAATTCATAGAGAAATTTGCGTTGGGGAGTTTTTAGGGAGTTTTTTGGATAGTTTGCAGCGCGAGTTTTACAGGTTTGAACCAAGATATTTCCCTTGGAACCTCAATAGTTTGGGAATCTGAAACTACTGTCGAGTTCTAGAAGATTTCCTCTTTCCAAAAACTACTTAAACGTTTTTGAAGCTCCCGGGAGTCATGAGATAATTGCGTTGGGGATTATTTGGGGAACACTCCGAACTGTTCGAAAGTCCGTTTTCTGTGTACGGTTTCAAGCGAGCGTGTTCGAATAGCCAGAAATACATGTAGAACGTATCCTGTGGTGGAGCAGGAGCAGGATGTGGTTGTTTAGCGCCAATCATGCTAACTTTGGATGCGCCGCGCATTGAGGTCCGCGCAGAGGTGATGGGATGGTGCAACTTGTGCGTAATGTCTGTCCACGCGAGCAAATGTGTCTATAGGATTCAGGGAGGTCCATGGCGAACCTGTGCACTTGTTTACAGTGTTTTCCGTTGCGTATGATGGAGCGTGTCCCTGTCGACGCCGCCAGATTCGTGCTCCGCCAATTGCTGATTCCGATAAAGGAGACCAACTGCTGGAAAACGTCTGATACGAACGATATGGTAGTCCTGTCGTTTGTCGAAAAAAAACAGG